TCATTTATTGAAGTATTAAAAACCATATTTTATTATATAAATTCACAAAATATTTTATTCATGATTAAATAATTTTAAAAAGGTAATACCAATAATAAACTACCTTTACAAAAAAATTCCAAAACCTAATATACATTATTATGAAAAATTATGACAGAGAAATTAACTATCTTTAACAACTACACAATAATATACTGCCAGTTGTTTCTTCCCTTACAAACAAATAATATTTATTAAAACTTAAGTATTAAATTTGTTTGCACTATTTTAAATTTATATTTTACCAATTAAAAATTTAGTACAACTGCAAAAAACTTAAAAAAAGAAAAAATGTATTTATAAATATAACTTACATAATTAATCAATTGTTGTTGGGATTAATTATTATTCATATATTATACATATATTATTCAACTTTTATCTAGTGACACTTCTTATTATTGAAGGATCAAACCAATCTGTAATATTGATTTTTTAATTTGAATGTGTACAGTTAAATAAATTAATATTAAATTATTACCTTGTTACTATTTATTTCAGGGCACTTCCAATTGTATAGATAGTATTGTAAGTTCCCATCTCCAACTCCAAATTTAAGTGGTTCTAAAAACTCCTTATTGTCCATTAGGTCTAAGGCATTGAACACATCAAAATTRGCCTAAATAGAACAAAAATGCATTAATATAATAATAATAATAATAATGATATTACTAGTATAACTTACATCTCTAGCTGAAATAAGAGCATCTTGCATAAGTTCGATCCATGGTGTTTTGGTAGATACATTATAAAAAGAGTATGCTGCCTTTAATGTACGATAAGTCGGATGATGCATGATAGTTGAAGGAAGAGTATAAAAACTAACTAAATCTGTAACAATTTTAAAAATTAATATAATAAAATAGATATAATTTTTAAGCTTTGAAAAGAATACATAAAAATTAGAAGTGTATACAAACTATATAATAGAAGAAGTATTTACATAATGAAAAATCAAACAGGGTTCTATTACATCTCAAACCCAAAATCCCACATTATTTAATATTAAGTCAAAATCGACATTACTTCATCCTTGTAAATCTTCCATCTTTTAATACAAGGTATAACAAATAGAATTGACTTTAGGAATTACTTTARTTCAAATTAATATTTTTTTTCTTCATTAAGTGGCCCTAGCTACATGTATAAAACATTTTTTTTATGTCTATTTTTTAATACTGAAAATAAAAAATGTAAATTTAATGAATT